CTGTGTGCATTTTAATTCACAAGCATCGCATTTAGAAGTGAATAGACGTCGCGAGAAGAATTCGACATTCGTATCATATGCACGTGTACACGTATATATACAATTTTATACGTACAACAGACATGCACGCGTACACATAGGTGCATACATACCCGGGAAAACTACGAGGACGAGTCAATGTCGCCAAAGGATCGTAGGTGGGACCGTCGGTGTGTTTGTACGTGTTATAGCGTGCGGCACGGACAACGTAGGGACAAGAGAGGCGATATATAATGTTCCGCGATATTAAACGGGACGCATTCCACCGAAGCCACCCTCTGGTCCCTGCTATGAATGCTTCTACGACCCCCGTCTCCTGTCTCACCCTTCCACCTTCCTCCTTCCCCCTCCCGCCCAATGGCTCCCCCTCCGGCCCGTCGTCCCACCCCCTTACCCGACAACCACCCCACGGGAGCTGGCAAAGCTGGCCTACTCGACCAGGGCTACCCCCGAATGGTTATACGCCAAATTTACAGCTTAGCCAGAACCCACCACCACTACCCACGAACACGCCATTTACTACACTCTGGGGGAGCTAGGTACTACCGGATACGCGGCTCTATGACGCGTTTGCTCAAGGATAAAGCCGCCTACCGACGATTTACGGGCATCACCGATACGACCGGAACACCTTCTTATTACCACTCGGGTTTTTTCGACTCTGCGGTTCGAGGGGTTCGGGGGTTTTTCGCTTGACGCTTGCATCGACTTATTGTGTCGTTTTACTGAATTTAACCCCTTGCGCAAGAATACATGTTGGAGATTAGTTTGGTATCTTAAATTGAATGCTGTTGATTGGTTAGTTGTTTATTTGTATAACGAGATTCATAGGACTTTTTGTTGGCTGATGTTTAGGGCCTCGATTTATTATTCGACTTTATGTGTTTTTGTCAATATGTAATTTGTCTATAGGGGTTCCTGGACTTTTGAAGTTCTTTGGTCTAAGGAATGCAGTAACTTCATTTTCTCTCTCCATTCTTATGTGTATTTTCAAAAACACATTAAACTTGTTGCATTAAATATGAAATTCATTAGACTGCAGATAAACTTAAAATCCACGTTTCTTAAATGAAACAATTCCTTATATTTACGAATCCATCAATCTCATTAATGTACAAAAATCCTTACTTCATTTCTAATATCCCCGTGTACTTCCACACGAAGAATCATCTCAAATTTCCGTTACCAAAACACCAAAACCTACCCACAATAAGCGGCCAAAGGTCCTTCAGTTCCTTTAAAAGTCGCATCAAAATAATGCCTACATCCCCGCGCCGAACCTCGCAGTCGCGAGTCGAAAACTTGACGCAACAACGCCCGTAGAAGTAGGAAGTTTCGCATTGCTATCTCCAACCCCCATCGACCCCCCTTCCTCAGCCAGATGTCCGGAAACGTTTCAGTTGAAGTTAAAAGGAGACAAGAAATTTAGTTATGCCGTGGCGCGGGCCGCGCCGGTGGACAAGGACGTTCCGGTCTCTCCCATGACCGAGAGTAGCCACGACATTCCAAAATGCTTTCCCTCC